TGTGTGTGTGTGTGTGTGTGTGTATAGAAATGTCAAGGGAATTTTAAGGTTAGTAAAGGACTTTGGAAGTTTAAAATCTGGCAGCTCTCTGAGCATTTATTTCCCCTTCTCTGTCACAAAGGCTGGAATAGGATTTGGATAGTTGATTTTAAGGTAAAAGCCCCTATTTATTGGCTAGTTCAGAAGCTGAGTGCCTCTTATATGCCTATGGAACACTGTTCTGGAAATTCAGGGACAAAAAGGCAGTTTGGTTTCTGTTTTCATAGGGCTGTCCTTGAACAAGTCTTTATTTTTTAAACAAGTATCAACTCCTGAGCTGGGGATAGGTGAGGCTCTTGAGGTAGACCGACTGTCCTCCCTTCAGGCAAGGTTTGTCAGTTCTGATAGTTCCTGCTGGCAGTGCTCGAGAAACTCGACTCACGGCTCTGGTTCTTTCATCTTTTGCTCTCTAGTTGGTTGCACTGAATTGCCCTCTGACCAGAATCCAGGCCACTGGGGGAAGGCTAGGCTGTGCAAGGGGAGTACTCCTCCCCTTTGTGGGTGCCATTTCCTAGAGTTCCTGGAATGGTTTCTTCAGTTGCAGCAGCTGTGTAGGTCATTTTTGTTTTATCTGGAAAGTTGAAAAGGGTCAAGGGTGGAGAAGGAGAGCAACTAGTTAATAACAAAGCTTGTTCAAAGACAGCAAGCACATCCTAGGTGGTGTATTCTGCGGGGTTTTGTGGGTTATTTCCCCATCTCTTTACCACCTAGCTTCCCGTGACTTAAACTCAAGGGGAAAGATTTGTTTTCCCTTCAACATTCCTAATGGTAATACTACTAATAAATCTAGTATTTATTGACTCTTAATCACTTCCTCTCCAACTTCTTGGTACAGACAATGCAGTGGGAGAGTTACATGTTCCACAGGGTTGACTTGGAAGGGGCAGGGAGGAAAGAGCTTTTAGGAGGTCTTCTAAGTGTAGTTTCCATGCCCCCCTCTTACATGTGGACACTGATTTTCCCGCCTATATGGAGGTGAGTGGTTATAGGACTCAGGGTTTACCTATCTAGATTGTTGCCATTTTTGTAGAAGGGTACAGGGCTCAGAAAACCCTGTCTTCACCCTGAGCACAGCTGCTTCAGCCCTTACAGTGCATTAGCTCCAAAGAAGGTCTTCTGAGGTGCATTGTAGCCCTGCAAACTTGGGAACCTGGTTGGTTGGTTTAGAAGCTTCCACCTCACACTACTTTTGCAAGACAGTGGAGACTATAAAGACTTAAATGTGCAGCAAATTTGAGTTGCTCTCAGGTAAGCATCAGACTAGATTCTTTTCACAACTGTAATGTGATTTTGTTTTTTAAAGATTTTGCCAGCACACAAAAACGGGGAGCAGCAGACCGAGGAAGAAGAAGATTCCCCCGCTGGGCAAGGAGCCCAATGTGGGACTTGATCCCAGGACCCTGGGATCACCCTGAGTGGAAGGCAGATGCTTAACCAACTGAGCCACCCAGGCGTCCCTTAAGATTCATTTTCGAGCATGTGCTTGCGAGCAGGGGGAGAGAATCTCAAGCGGATTCTACTGAGCACGGAGCCTGAGACGGGCTCGATCTCATGACCCTGAGATCATGACTTGAGCCAAAGTCAAGAGTTGGATACGATATAACCAACTGAGCCACCCAGGCCCCTTTCCACTGTAGTTTTAAACCAATGCTTACAAAGTTCTGAAGTACGGTCAGCTACTTACTGGTTTCTTTTTGGCTGCTTGATAAGATGATATTAATTGTAAATCCACATTTGCTACCAAGAGATAATGAATTCCCCCCCCGGGAAGGTTGTCTTCCTAGGGTCTGAGTCAATTCCCAGGGTCTAGAAAACATCGTGAAGGAGCCCCTCAAGTGCATGGGAAACAAGATCGAGTTGAAGGATTTGAGTGATTATACTGATGTTTAGAATTCTACTGAAATACCTTACTGAGTAAGGTTTCCTGATTTGGAAAGTGACATTTGCAGTTGAAGCCCACCTAGAGGAAGGGTCTTAGTGGGTTTCCTTGAGGTTTATTATAAAGAGAATTAAAAAAAAATGCTCTGAACATCTTAGAAAAGAGGTGCTGTGCTGTTTAGAAAGTAATTCAATAGTGATCAGACCAAACAAACTAGATTATTGTGATCCTGTAATAAACTTAACCTTTGTTTACTGTGTAACCAGAATTGGGAGTCTTGGCTCCTGGCTTATTAGGCTGCATTGCTTTAATGTTTTTTCATAAAGGAGTGCCAGTGGTGTTTGGGGCTAACCTGGTTCTAAGAAGAACTAGTCCTAAAGAAAACTGAATTTTCCAGATTTTGAATAGGCGGCCTTCACACTACTACTTCACAGCTATTAAATATCCAAGACATACTGAGTTTTCCATGGTCTCCCCAGTTAGTCAAAATTGCCTTATTCCAACGAGGGCAAAGTCTCTCCACAGTTGATTTTTCCAACTAGAAGACCGGCTGGAGTGCAGTTCCTGGAAATAGCCCTGGCTCTCTGAAGTCCTTTCCTACTTCTGGTGCTACCTGGTTTCTAGTGACGTGGTAAGAGTTGAAGCCCCATCTAAAAGGTCCCTGCCAGAGATTTGTTTGCTGGCAAGGGTCAGGTCCAATATGGGAGAACGCAAAGGAGAATGTCAATACTCACCCTTGGAAGGCTTGATTTTCTCATAGCACCGAAAAATGAAGATGAGAAGAACCCCTTCTCCAAGCTGGAAAATCATGTAGAGGAGAGGGAAGAAAAAGAGTGGTCCAATGTCTTCAGGGGGGAATGTCACATTGAGAATGGTGGAACAAAGCTGAACGTTTTGGCATCCGGTTTCCATGCTGACAGTGCGGCTGCACCTGTGTAGGTTAAAGAAACCAACCTAGCCATTATTTCCTCAGAAGGGACATGAAGGTGTGAATTCGCTTGTCCATCTCCCTCCCTCCTCCAAATTACCCAAGACCCATTGAATGAAGGTGGAAGTGCATGGTGACTGGTAGGTTCATGGCAGGGAGTTTTTATGAGAGAGTTGAGTAGCTTAAAGATTTACAGTTTGTCTGCTTCTGCAGGCAAATTAAAATTCGGAGAGACGTCTGATGAGGGATGAAAGTGTGAGCCAGTATCGTTCATTGGCTTGTTCTATAGAGTTTACATATGGGACAGTTGCAGTATGAACATAAGTAGAAGATGGTCTGAAATGCCTGGGGACCTTGTCCTGTTTCCTAGTTTCTGGTTTGAAGATCTTTAATTCCAAAACCATAATGATTAAAAAACAAACTTGAGGGGGCGCCTGGATGGCTCGGTTGAGCATCCGACTCTTGGTTATGGCTCAGGTCATGATCTCAGGGTTGTGAGATCGAGCCCCACATGGGGGCCTTCATTCAGTGGGGAGTCTGAGATCCTCTCCCTGCCCACCCCCCACTCGCTTGCTCACTCAGATCTTTAAAAAAAAAATTTGATTCAGCCCCATTATCTATCTTTGGAATATGCTCTTAGTTTTGCTCTCGTTTTGTGGACTGAGGAATAGGATGTTTACATTTACTGAATACACATTTATTGAGTTGTGATAGTAGTGTTTTAAAATAGTTAACTAAAATTTCTGAAAGCTGTCTCAGCACATTTATTATGGGGGAACTAATTTCCCTGATGACCCTTGATTATGTGGCCATTTATCACTGAAAATTGACATCTAGTGGTCATTGAAAGCCTTTTAACTCTAATCAGGTGCTACAGCCTATAGTAATTTCTATATTAGTGTGGTTCTTAAAATGGGTAACTTTTTAAGTTCTATTTTTAAAGCAATTCAGTTTGGGGGGGCAAGTGGAAGGGCACTAGGGTGCTACTAGTGTTTAGACTTATGCACAAGTATTTGTTTATGGCTGAAAAGAGGCAAAGTTTCTGAAATATACTGCACTATGTAGAGAGTGTGTCTGATAATCCTACACCGGATTGCCAGGCTGACTGTCTCTGAAAAGAGCCCCTGAGTTTGTGAATTGGATTAAAGTACAGCAGAGGTCCATAGGCACTTCAGCTCTTAGTACCACTTAGCAGAGCTGTCACCCAGTGGTGCCCTTGTCAAGACGGAAGCCTCGGCAGGCAGGGTAGAAGAGTGGAAAAGGAAGATGCTCAACACCATGATTGCATGGAGCTACTCCAGAGTTGTTTAGCTACCAGATTTCAGCAGGAGATGGAATCTAGACTCAGGAGGGAGCACTTCGCCATGAGCTGTTGCTCTTTGGGTTATTAGATGTTTTTGTTCCTAAACCATTTAGTAACTTACTCCAATGTTTCTCACTGCCCAAAGTTGACGCATTCGTACACACTGCCAGGAAATGCCTCCCCCAGGTTTTGGATCTTACCCTTTTCCTGAGAGACCAGGACAAGAATGAGGCCCGTAGGACCTTGAGATCTAAAATAATACCTACTGAGGGAGAGAGGCAGAGGGGGAATCTGCCTCTCTCCCTGTCTCTTAGGAATAAATAAATCTTTAAAAAATAATACCTACTGTGCACTGAGTTGGAAAAGCATAGAGAGGATGTAGCCCAGCAGGAAGCCGACGAAAGGCATCAGGGAGGAGGTAGCCAGCAAGTGTGGTGTCAGGACAAACGTGATACTGTTGCCCACATTGATGACAGAGAGTGCTATGATGGCCACGCTTAACAAAAGCATGATGATCGTCCCCCCCTGTAAATGAGGATCGGAAGAAAAGGCAGTTAGAAGGGTGGTAGGGGATAGGGAGGAGCAGAGAGTCTTCGAGGAAGCATGGGTGGGTATCAAAGGTGGGAAACAATGAAGAAACGGTATTTGAAGAGGGAGTGCAAAAAAACCTTTATCTTCCATCTTTTTGGAATTCTTAGGGGTAGCTAGGAAGCTTCTTGGACAACAGAGACTTCATATTTTTGTTACTGTTGACTGTTAACAAGAGAGCCAGATCTTTACCAGCAAAATGAATTCTGGAAATCGAAGTGCAGTTTGGGACAAGCAAGCTATGGTGAACCAGAGCCAGGTGCTGAGAACAGGCCACTAGGCTTTTAGAGAGGACAAGCTGGGAGGGGCTGTTTCGCTGAGTCCTCATTGGCAGGGCTGTTGCTAGGCCAGGAGAAATTCTTCCTCCTGGGGTATGTAAAGTAAGCTTTCTGTTGGGTAATGCAAGGTATGCTGCTTTTGGCCATTGGCGGTGCAGAAGAGCTCTCCCTTCCGGGCTTCTGGACTCCGTTTTAAATGAGGTTTTCTTTATTTTCACATTTCTCCCTTTGGATCAAGTTCTTTCTTCAAAAACATTGCTGATCAAGAGTCAGGTCTTTTATATTTAGTACTTGCATCTGCTAAAGTGGCTTTGTCCCTCGGTGCCAGGAAGGACACTTCCTGGTTGGTGTGTCCCATGTTGGAAAGGGCTACATTGGACTAAGAACGAAGGGTGTGAGGGAGAACTCTTAGCATTTCCCATTTGAGGTCTCTGTCTTGCCAAGATTGTAAGCATTGGAGATCATCTTGAAGTCTTTGAGTTAACATCTCCCTATTGGTGTCACTTTTGTAGAGATTTGACAGGCAGTAAGTACGAAGTTTAAAAATGATTATATAGCAGAATAATGAGTTTGTACATTTGATAGTCCTAAAATAGGATCCCAAAACTAAAGACATCCAGCTAAAGAGGTCATAGGATTGGGGTGCCTGGGTGGCTCAGTCGGTTGGGCGTCTGCCTTCAGCTCAGGTCATAATCCCAGGGACCTGGGATCGAGTCCTGCATCAGGCTCCTTGCTCAGTGGGGAGCCTGCTTCTCCCTCCGCCCGCCACTCCCCCTGCTCGCGCACACGCTCTCTCTCTCTCTCTGACAAAATCTTTAAAAAAAAGGTCAAAAGATGGATGGTTATGGTTGGAGAAAGGTTGAAACAAGGTATGAGGACACTTGGCCATAAGAGCCTAACCTGAGAGATCTTGCAGTTATAATTTGGGATAAAAAAGAAATTGGTTACAGGGAAGGGATCTCTGACCTCATGAACAGATTGCAATTTCTGGTGACAGATCCAACAGGAAGTTTTCCCCCTTTTACAATAGATTGGGCCAAGAAAGGGAGGAAATGAGGTTAAGAAGCAACATTGAGAAAAAAGAATACAGGCCTAATCTCATCATCTTGGGAAAGCTGTCTCCTTCAAGTGTCATGTCCTTCAATTCCTGGAAATCATTATTTTTAGGTCACGAATTGGTATGCAGGTCCAGTCAGGGTTGGTGCTTTCTTTAGATGATCCAAAAGCCTGTTTCTTAGTTTGGTGGCACAAGAGTTTGTTAACAGTACCTGATAGGGGCATTTTCAGCGGGGTTGAAGAGAATCTTGAGCTGTCTTTTCCAGTAGATGAAATCTTTGGATGGCAAGGTGTGATAGTTAAAATCTTCCTCTCCTGGGATCCCACTGTGGGAAGATTACTAAAGCACGGCAAACAATAGACTATAGATTTAGAAGGATTAATGGCAGTGCCTTTGGCCATGGTATTTGAAGGGTCTCTACAAATTTTGCCAGTTGAGTCTTAATGATGATGTTTGTTGAGTCTTAATGATGCTGTTCACGTGTTCAACTAGCCCTGAAGATGGACGGTGGTAAGCACAGTGAAAGTGTTGTAAAAGTAGCTGAACGGCACAGACTTGTCAAAGTCCTTGACTGGTGGAGTGAATTTCCTGGTCACTATGAAGTTCGAGGGAGGTTGATGATCTTTAGTAGGATTTTAGCCATAGAAGTAGCAGTAGCCTATCTACAAGGGAAGGCTTCAGTCCAGTGAAGAAACATACAAACCATTACCAAGACATATTTATATCTGTGAGATGGAAGAAGCTGTATAAAATCCATTTATCAAACCCTCAAATAGTCCATTAGGCAGTTTGAAGTGTTGGGGAGCAGTGTGGACAGGTTTTCTTGAATTCTATTTTGGGCAGGTGGGTCAAGCAAAATAGGCACTCTTTGGGACCTTGTTACTATTTCCCCACTAGTATTGGTTCATGAAGACTTTCCAGTAGTCAGTAATGGGAACTTTGAGTCCCTAGCAGTACTAGATTATTATTTGGCCAAGCCAGAGTTTGTTTGTTTGTTTTTTAACCGAGCTATCAGTTAATAGATTTCTAAAACTGTTTTTCCTTTTCTGGGGCCAGTTGTTGAGCATCTCTAGGCAGTTTTTCTAGATTATCATTTGGACCATGACAGAGGTTTGGTTGTTGGTTCCTTTGAGAGCAGCATTCTTTGCAGAAATATCAGTGAGGTGGTTTCCTTTAGGTTCCAGGGAATCAGGTTTAGAATTCCCAGGGAACTTGATAATGGCCAAGTGGCTGGCAAGAGTATGGCATCTAATAATTCCTGAACATAAAGGCCATTTTTAATTTTGTTCTTGTTAGAAATGAGGAAGCCTTGCTGGTTCCATGGCATTCCAAAGTCACGAGCTACTCAAAAGGCATACCTACTCTCAGGTGAGTGGTAGTCCCTTCAGGGCTTCCCAACTGTATTTTGAATGAGATTTCCTTTATTTTCACATTACTAAGCCAGCATGGCTTCTGGTTGACATCTCTGGATCACGGATTTTTCAGTAAATGCTGTGACTCGGAAGGAATGAGATTATTCCGTCCTCGCACGAGTTTTTAGTTACAAATTAAAAGTTTTCATACAAAGTCATTATCTCTGGAGCCTGTATACACATATCTACCATATTACCATCACTCACTCCAAATATTTTGGAACTCAGAAGTTATTCTTGGAACCTGTCATATGCATAATGGAGGTCTCAAATACCTCCATTATGCATAGGGACTGCATCCATTTTAGGATGAATTTGATTTCTGGAAGTTGCCAAGATCATTTGAAGTGAAGCTGGTAAAGGTGGGTGATCAGGCCAGGTAATGTGATTTTAGACCCCAAATGATTTATAACCATAAAGGGGCAAGCCTACTTTCTTAAGTGACCTGCAGATTGGATATGAAGGAAGTTACCAACAGAAATTTCAGAAATGTTCTGGGTAATAAGGCAACATCAGAAACAATACAGGTTCACCCTGCCCCAGGTGAGTGGCTATGAAAGCAATATTTATTGGGAACGATGGTACGTTTTCATTTATTTTAGAATTTGCTTTATTTTAAAATTTGCTGCATCTTACATACCATTTCATTTTTTAAAAGATTTTATTCATTTATTTGAGAGAGAGAGAGAGAGAAAGACCAGAGCATGAGCTAGGGAAGGAGGCGGGGAGCAGGGGGAGCGGCAGAGGGAGAAGCAGACTCCCCGCCGAGCAGGGAGCCCGATGTGGGTCTCGATCCCAGGACCCTGGGATCATGACCTGAGCCGAAGGCAGACGCTTAACCCACTGAGCCACCCAGGCGCCCCCATCTTACGTACCATTTTAAATTTTCAGTAGGTGAATTTATGATAAAATCAACAAGACTTTTTAGCGTGTAACATAAGAATAAAAGCTTTCAAAGTGCACTCACATGTCTATGCATTTTAGAGAATGACACACCAAAGTGATAAAGTATATGCATAAATTCAAGGCTCTTTATCCCTCTAATCTTTTGAATAAAGGAATATATAGCAAACTTTTGTTGAACTTACCATGTTATTTTCTTTTCTTTTTTTTTTTTACCAGGTTATTTTCTAATTATTAGGTATATTGCTTCCAGTTTCCAGTACATTCATGTGACATGTTTCCTAGTAACATTTTAAAAATTGTGATAAAGGGCACCTGGGTGGCTTAGTCGGTTAAGCCCCTACCTTCGACTCAGGTCTTGTGATCTCTCAAGGTCCCTTCTCAAAGGGAAGTCTGATTCTCCCTCTCCCTCTGCCCCCTACCCCCCCCCTTTGTGTTCTCACATACTCTCTCCCTCTCTCTCAAATAAGTAAAGTCTTAAAAAATAAAAATTGTGGTAAAATGTATATAATACAAGTTGCCATTTTAACTATTTTTAAGTGTACAATTCAGTGGCATTAATTACGTTCACAAAGTTGTCTTGGTAACATTTTAACATTTATATTGCTCAAATTTCAGCTGCACTGCTTGTTTTGCGTTTCTATGTTTGAATCCATGTTGCAGCTGATGTAATCTTTTAAAGATTTTTATTTTTTATTTGAGAGAGCATGAACGAGGGGGAGGGGTAGAGGGAGAGGGAGAAGCAGACTCCCTGATGAGCAGGGAGCCCGATGCAGGGTTGAGTCCCAGGACCCTGAGATCATGACCTGAGCTGAAGTCAGATGCTTAACCGACTGAGCCACCCAGGTGCCCCCTGATGTGACCATTTAAATGTCACCTGTACTAACCGGTGGTTCTACCCCAGGATAGGAAGGACTTTCACAGACCTCATTGATAACCACATGTTTCAAGTTGTATTGGAAGACTTAACTGATGAATTGTCCAGTTGGCATTTGGATTGATTTCTCCTTTTGGATTTTTCCTCTACTCAATGACCAAATAGATTTTGTCCCCATCAGGAATGTAATGGGTAATGTAGGGATCACTGGGCTACAGAAATTGTCCATGAGCCCAGAAATCCTCTTCTTTGTGGGCAGCTGCTCTATTCCCTCACTCTTGTTCTTTCACTCTTTGGGGTTGTAGAGTGGTTTTGAGCACAGACGTTGGTGTGACCCCGGTGTGAAGGCTGGCTCTGCCAGTCTGTAGGAGCGTAAACTTCGCTCAGTCGCTCAACTTTCTGAGTGAGGTGGATAGCTCAGCACCTGGCATATAAGAACTGACTCACTAAATTGTACCTCCTCTTATTTTTCACGGCTAAAGGAGAGGAATTGAACATCCCAAAGCTTCCTGTCACTCTCAGTCCTGCCATTTGTCCACAACCTCCTGCTGAGACAAGAGGCCATAGGTAGTTGCTTCTCCACAGGTCACCATGTTTTTTGCACCAGCTGGCTTCACTGCTCTGTTAAAGCTGACTGAAGCTGTGAGGAGAGTCCATTCACAGGCAGCCAACCCATCCACATGCCGGTGGCCCAGGACATGATCTGGCTCACTCTTCCCACAAAGGTGGCCTACACAGGTTGCTGAATGGCCAAACTAAGAAGATCATCTCATTTAGAGAGTTTGCAGAACTACAGAGAAGGCAGCAGGAGCAGAAGCAAGTGTTAAAAGACACAGCAGCCTGGGCGCCTGGGTGGCTCAGTTGGTTAAGCGACTGCCTTCGGCTCAGGTCATGATCCTGGAGTCCCAGGATCAAGCCCCACATCGGGCTCCCTGCTCAGCAGGGAGTCTGCTTCTCCCTCTGACCCTCTTCCCTCTCGTGCTCTCTATCTCTCATTCTCTCTCTCTCTCAAATAAATAAAATCTTTAAAAAAAAAGAAAAAAAATGAAAGACACAGCAGCCTGACAGTGCGGGGGGCGGTGGGGTGGGGGGCAGCCGCAAGTTGGCAGACACGTGAGACGGAGGTGGGGCGGTTCTCCGGTAGCAGCAGGGAGGGGAAAAGCATAGGGGGAGTGGCTGAGTCACTGTAACAGCAAGACCCTTATTTAAGGGTGGTGGACGGCTTGGGGTAAAAGAGGACCATGTCATGCTGAGGTTCATCAACCGTCTGACCGCATAGACTTAAAAATAAACCCCGCACGGGTAAGTTAAAGTATTACTTGAATTGCCATCCCAAATAGAGCATCCTTGAAATTGTATCTTGGCCTATCTAAATGTGACCTCCCACAAAATAATGCAAGGGATGGAGTAGTTTGAGCAGATGCCTTCTGCCGAGAGCCAGTTATCAGAATTTGGGTAATTGTGATTTGAAAGTCTCTAGAAGGATTAAGTGTGGAAAAAGGTGGGGATGAGTGATTGCTCATTTTTCAACTTATTGTTCACTATATCTTATGCAAGAAGGAGATCTCACTGGACTCCATTTCTGCTGTTGAATTGAGTGGCAGGCGTGTAGTGCAACAGGAATAGGAACCTGACTGATAGTCCTGTCTCTGCCATGTAAGTTCCCTGGGCCTCAGTCATTCCATCTATAAAATTGGAATAAGGCAGGAGACTGAACTTTATTTTGAAAGCCCTTCCAGCTCTAATCTGAGATTGTTTCTGCATCCTCAGATGAATACTTTAAAGTTACGCTGAGTTAAAAAGGAGACATACATTCTTATATTAGTTTTGACTGGCAGTATAGTCCTTGGCTTTGTCACCTATAAAATGGGGAAGAGCAGAGTTGCATTAAATGATACCAGGGGTCATTTCACATAAAAAAAAAAATTTTTTTTTTTTTTTTGCATTCCTATACCTCCACAGACTATCTTGAATAAAGTTACATGATAGACACCAATGTTTCTGGGGTATTTTCCCCTGCTAATGTGGGGATTGTCCCAGGTGGAGGGAAGGACATGTGCAAAGAGAAAAGAGCTGGGACTGGGGAGCCTGGGGATAGCAAACCAAGAAGGGCCTGGAAAGCCACATTGGGGAGTTTAAATAAAGTTTATCCTGGATAGCGTACAGAACTGATGAGGTGTTTTAAACACAGTAAGAGAGACACAGTAAGAGTTTGTACTTTCCGTCTCCATCCTCAGGTTAAAACTGGATCAGGGAGCCAGGTTAGAAGGCTGTTTCAGTTGTCTTGTGAGAGAGGATAGTGGCCCAAGTGGATGATAGCATTCTCAGAGATGGGGAGGAGTGGATGGATCCAAGTGACGCAGGCAGAATAGACGATCTCCTATTTAGGTGAATGTCCGAGGGGATGGAGAGGGGACACTGAAAACGATTTAACGGTTTTGTGGCTCAGGCAGCTAGGCACATGGAACGCCATTCCTTGAGATAATCACATGGGGAGGAGCAGGGTTGGAGAGGAGATGGTTTTAATTTAAGACACTGAGTTTTAAATGCCTGACGCATATTCAGGTAGAACGATTGGGCAGTTAATAGATGGATTCTGGAGTCAGAGGAGAGTTGAGGGCTGAAGATGGCATTCTGGAAGTCATCAGCTTGTGGATGGTCAATGAGGTGGACTAGATCTCATGGTGGGGAGATCCTGGGCTTAGGGAAATCTGGCAAGAAAAGCAGAAAGCCTGGGCTGAAGGCAGAGAAGTAACTTTTACCAGATGAACTCATTAGAGAGTCAAAAAGAAGTGCCAGAGAGGTGATAGGAAAGCAGGAGTGCCTGGGTCACCACAGCTGAGGGAGAAGGCTTCTGAGAGGGAGGCGATGGTCAACCATACCAATGGTTACTAAAAAGTTAAGGATGAACTTAGAGATGTCTGTTGGATTTGGCAGAGAAAGTAGAACAGGTGGTCATCGTCCTGCTGAGTGGATGGGAGACCAAGGAGGAGAGAAGAGAGGGATTCAAGTAGCTGAGACTAATTGTTGAGGGCCTGTCACTTGTGAGAGCGGCCCTGGCAGGTGTGGTGGGAGTGGAAGGTGTGGGGGGGATGCAGGTGCAGGGAGGGATGTTTCCTGAAGCATGGGTAGGGGAGGAAGGGCAGGTGTTGGAGATCAGTAGGGGTTGTTTTTGTTTTTGTTTTTATAGATAGGAAAGAGGCGAACCTGTTATCAGTATTGATTGTGAAGAACCAACCAATACAGAGACTTAAGAAATGAGAGCAGAGGTGGGGGAGGCTGGGGGACTTGGGGGCCATCATCAATAAAAGCAGATCTCTGAGAAGCAAGAGTGGAGAGAACGGATACTGCCCTTCAGAGCTGAGGAGGGGTGACCAAACATGGACAGGAGGAGGAATGACTTGACCAGGTCTTCCAACAGGGTGGGAAGGGGAGCTGTAGCCACTGTATCAGGACTGGGCCAGGACAGGGACAAACCTACCCCGGACGAGGGGAGTGTGAAAATTGAAAAGTCCTGAAAACTTGACTTACAGCTTCTTTATCTCAGGCCCAAAGCTGCTGCCAAGACTTGAGCTTCCAAGCAGCAGGCCTTGTAGGCTGGCCTGAGGCAGAATCCTTCCTGAGGACAATCTTGGAGCTCCGGCCCTAGGGGATGAGCAGTGAGCTGGAGGGGGAGACTGACAGGAACTGAGCTCCAGGGTTACAAAGTTGGTAGATGGTCCATCACAGCACTCTCAAGAGTCAATGATTCTTCTGAGGTCAGGGAAGTGGCATAATGTCCTGTGTGTGACCACAGTGCTCCTCCAAGCCCCCTCTACTCCTCTCTCCCTCCCGTCCCACACCTCAAATGCTGAGAGTGCATACACTACCTCTTCCCCTGTTTTCCTCTGGCTTCTCATCAAGTCAGCCAAGTTTGCCCTCGTTCCCCCTGAGTTCCTTTATTCAGGTTTCCCCCCAAGGCTGACCCAAATCCTACCCTTTCTTCATGGTCTACCCTCACCTGATCTTCTTGCATTCAGCCAGTACTTAATTGTACACTGTATTTGATCTTATTTGTCATGTGTTAGATCACTTCACTTTTGCTAATATCAGACTCATTGATGACAATTGAAACCTCAAGAGTATAGCATAAAACTTAGCATCTAGTAGGTACATAATACAAGTTTTTTATTATGAAAATAATGATCATATAATTGTGTGTGGTGTTTTCCTTCTTTCTCCTAACTTTTCAAAAGTACTCTCATGTACATTACAATCCCATGAAGTAGGTGTACCAATAGTAGACCCTTTTCTTTTTCCAATAAGGAAGGAAACACACAGAGAAAGCCCAATGACTCTCCTCGGGCAATACACTGAGATAATAGTGGTGTTCTTGCTCCCTGCACAGGTCCCCAGGTTCTTACCTTGTTGACATAGCGTACATATTGTGGCCGTTTGGCACTGAGGAAGATCCCAATGGTGCAGGGAATGAGAATCAGCATTAGTGATATCACAATGCTTCCATAGGGTATCTTGCTCTTCAGATCCCCATCATAGATTCCCCTGGAGTAGACATACAGGAGGAAGGGCATCAAGCCCAGGGCAAAGAAGGTGGAGCAGGTGGTCATCACGATGCTGGGTGGGAGAAGCAGGAAGAGTACAGAGAGAGCCCATTAACAAAGACTATTCTGTTGATTACCTGCTATGTGTCAGGCACTGTGCTAAGCATTTTACATACATTAATTTCTTTTTTCCAGTAGGCTTAGGAGATACAGGCTACAGGTTGATATTCTCACGTTCTTTACTTTTTGGTTTACCTTTACATTATTTACGATAAATAGAGTGTGAATCCCAGAGCCTGGATGATACATCTTCTCAGCTCTAATCTGTATCCTAATTGTACTATTACCATTTCCATTTTGACTCTAGTAGATGTTAGTCCTGTATAGGGAGAGGACTTCCAGAAAGGCTGACTGAAAGAATGAAGCAGCTAGGGAACATTGTTGTATTTGTGAATATTCATGTGACAATATATGGCTCTGGCTTCCATTCTTGTGGGAAGGTTGGGCATGAGGGGTTGGCAAGACCCCAGGAAAGCCCCACTAAGTGTGTGTCTCTCCTCCCCACAGCCCCATTATCTATCTATACTTCTTCATTGTTTCCATAGAGGTGAAATATAGCTTCAGTGAACATCAAGCATGGCCTAGGTCAAAGGGTCCAGAGTATAGCCATAAAGGACAGCAACAGGTAGAGGTATCACTAGGAATAAGTAGATGTCAGAGGTTGAGGAGAGACCCTCAAAGAATATTGTGAACTAAATAATGGGAAAATCCTTCTTCCATGAATATCTAAAACATCTAAACACATATTTGAGCTTGTAGGAAAGTTAGGGAGGTTTCCAGGTGCCAGCAACAGAATGTAAAGGAGTTGGTGGGTGAGCTCATGCTGAAGCCACACTGTGTGGAGTGGGTAGGGGGTGGAGTTTAGTCTTGGTAATCTGGAGGCTTAGGCTTTCATGATAAAGGGAGGGACCAGAACTGAGGTCTATATTTGTGAAAAGAGGAGAGTTGAAACCAAGAAATCAATAATAAAATAACTATTGGAAAAATAAAGTAATAATTTCATGTGTCAAATATAAAATCATAATGGAGAAAATATTTGGGACAGAATAATAATGCAACACATATTTTAAAACACATGGGAGATGACCTTGGATTACACAATAGTTTCTTAGAAAATGACATCTAATACACAAAAATAGACTCAAAATGGATGAAAAACCTAAATGTGAGACAGGAATCCATCAGAATCCTCAAGGAGAACATAAGCAGCAATCCCTTCGACCTCGGCTGCAGCAACTTCTTGCTAGACACATCTCCAAAGGCAAGGGAAACAAAGGCAAAAATGAACTATTGGGACTTCATCAGGATAAAAAGCTTCTGCACAGCAAATGACAGATGACAAAACCAAAAGACAACCGACAGCATGGGAGAAGATATTTGCAAATACATATCAGATAAAGGGGTAGGATCCAAAATCTATAAAGAACTTGTCAAACTCAACACCCAAAGAACAAGTACTCCAATCAAGAAATGGGCAGAAGACATGAACAGACATTTTTCCACAGAAGACATCCAAATGGCCAACAGATACAAGAAAAAGTGCTCAACATGACTCGGCATCAGGGAAATCCAAATCAAAACCACAATGAGATACCACCTCACACCAGTCAGAATGGCTAAAATTAACAAGTCAGGAAACGACAGATGTTGGCGAGGATGCAGAGAAAGGGGAACCCTCCTACACTGTTGGTGGGAAGGCAAGCTGGTGCAGCCACTCTGGAAAACAGTATGGAGGTTCCTCAAAAAGTTGAAAATAGAGCTACCCTATGACCCAGCAATTGCACTACTGGGTATTTACCCCAAAGACACAAATGTAGTAATCTGAAGGGGCATGTGCACCCCAATGTTTATAGCAGCAATGTCCAGAATAGCTAAACTATGGAAAGAACCCAGATGTCCCTCAACAGATGAATGGATAAAGAAGATGTGGTATACATATACAATGGAATATTATGCAGCCATCAAAAAAGAAATTTTGCCATTTGCAACAACATGGTTGGAACTAGAGGGTATTATGCTAAGTGAAATAATCAGAGAAAGACAATTACCATATGATCTCACTGATATATGGAATTTAAGAAATAAGGCAGAGGATCATAGGGGAAGAGAGGAAAAAAATGAAACAAGATGAAACCAGAGATGGAGACAAACCATAAGAGACTCTTAATCTTAGGAAACAAACTGAGGGTTGCTGGGGGAAGGGGGCGGGAGGATGGGGCAGCTGGGTGGTGGACATTGGGGAGGGTATGTGTTATGGTGAGCATTGGGTGTTGTGTAAGACTGATGAATCACAGACCTGTACCCCTGTGGGGGGAAAATAAGTGTCATGAAACAATAGTTAGCCTTACTACAGAGGATGCACTCTGATATTTTTCTCCTCTTCTAGTTTTAAATCTTTTTAAAATAAAATAAAATGGTGGTAGAGATTCCCCCCCAAAAGAAAGAAAATGACATCTAGAGCACACACACACACAAAATAAATTTGATTTCATCAGAATTAAAAACGTTTGTGCTTCAAAGGACACTATCCAAAAAGGTATACCAATGGCCAATAAGCATATGAAAAGAGGCTCCACATCATTAGTCATTAGAGAAATATAAATCAAAACTGGAATGAGATCACCATACTTACTAGTATGGCTACAATAAAAGTGATGGATAATAAGTCTTGGAGACGATGCGGAGAAATAGGAATCTTCCTGTGTTGTTGCTGGGATGGACAGTAACCATATGACCCAGCAATTCTACTAGATACATAGTCAAGAGAATTGAGCACATATGTTGACACAAAAACTTCTATACTTAAATTCAGAGCAGCATTATTCATAATAAGCAAGACGTGTAAAACAATAAAAATATCGACAGATGAATGGATAAGTAAAATATGTGGCTGAATATTATTCAGCCACAAAAAGCAATGTATTAAGTATGGGCACATGTTACCACATGGGTGAAACCTTTTTTTTTTTTAAAGATTTTATTTATTGGGGCACCTGGGTGGCTCAGTTGTTAAGCATCTGCTTTCGGCTCAGGTCGTGATCCCAGGGTCCTGGGATCGAGCCCCGCATCGGGTCTCCCTGCTCAGCTGGAAACCTGCTTCTCTCTCTCCCACTCCCCCTGCTTGTGTTCCCTCTCTCGCTGTGTCTTTCTCTGTCAAATAAAAAAAAAAAAAAAAGATTTTATTTATTTGACAGAGAGTGAGAGTACCAGCAGGGGGAGCGACAGGCAGAGGGAGAAGCAGGCTCTCTGCTGAGCAGGGAGCCCGATGCGGGGCTCAATCCCAGGACCCTGGGATCATGACCTGAGCTGAAGGCAGACGCTTAACCGACAGCCAGCCAGGAGCCCCTCACATGGGTGAACCTTGAAAACAATATGCTATGTGAAAGAAGGAGAAATATGAAAGGCCACATATTGTATGATCCCACTTCTATAAAGTCTATGGAGACATGAGATAGATCAGTGGTTGCCAGGGGCTCGAGTGAGAGAGAAATATGTATAGTGACTGCTAACTGGTTTCTTTTTGGGATGATTAAAATGTTCTGGAATTAAATACTGGTGATAGTTGTACAACCTTGTAAATATACTGAAAACTACTGAATTATACACTTTAAAAGGGTGAACTTTATGGTATGTGAATTATATCTTAATAAAAAAATAATTAAATCTGGGGAGCAACTAAAATCATTCTTAGAGGAAAATTTTTATAGCCTCAAATGTTTATATAGAAAAGCAGAAGACTAAAAATGAACTAAGTATCTTACTCAGAAAATTAGAGAGAAACAAAGTAAACTCAATGAAAATGGAAGAATATATTAAAGTTGAGAGAATAAATTTAAAAATTTATATAAATTGAGAGGATCACTTAAACCAAGAGCAGCTTTTTTTTTCCAAGTCCAAGAAAAGACACCTCTGGCATGACTAATCAAGGAAAAAGAAGGCACAGATTGATTATATTGGGAATGAAAAAGGGTACATAATTACAGACACATTAAAGATTTTAGGGAGTTATAGAAGAAACCAAGGCCAGTTTTGTACTTTTCATTTTTCAGCTTGGATTGAATGGACAATTTCCTGGGAAATATAATCTATAGAAACCAACTCAAAATGAAGCTGAAAACCTGAATCAACTTAGAATCATTGAGGACATGAAGTAAGTAGTGAAAACCTATCCTCCAAACCCCACACAATGTGTATAGTTTTACAGCAGAGTTTGATTAGACATTCAAAGTATAGGTAGTCTCAATATTATAAAGAGAATACAAAAAGGGAAATTGCCCCAGTTATTGTATGTAAATAGTATAACTTTATTAAGGTTAAATTTTTTATTTAAATTCAATTAACATACAATGTATTATTAGTTTCAGAGGTAGAGGTCAGTGATTCATCAGTCTTTTTTTTTTTTAAAGATTTTATTTATTTATTTATTTGAGAGAGCGAGAATGAGAGAGAGAGAGAGAGAAAGAGAGAGCACATGAGAGGTGGAAGGGTCAGAGGGAGAAGCAGACTCCCCGCTGAGCAGGGAGCCTGATGCGGGACTCGATCCTGGGACTCCAGGATCATGACCTGAGCTGAAGGCAGTCGCCCAACCAACTGAGCCACGCAGGCGCCCCGTGATTCATCAGTCTTATATAATACCCAGTGTTCATTATATCACATGCCCTCCTTAATGTCCACCCAGTTACCTTATTCCCCCCCACCCCCTTCCCTCCATAATAGTATAATTTTATTTTATTTTATTTCAAGATATTTATTTATTTGAGAGAGAGTAAGAGTGAGAGATCACAAGCGGTGGGGGGGGAGGGACAGAGAGGGAGGGAGAAGCAGACTGCCCCCTGAGTAGGGAGCCTCATGCGAGATTCCATCCCAGGACCCTGGGACCATGACCTGAGCTGAAGGCAGATGCTTAACCGATTTAGCCACCCAAGCGCCCTGAATAGTATAATTTTAAAATCAAAGCTGCAAAAGGACATTATGAGGAAGGAAGTTAGGGGCCATTCTCACCCATGAACAAAG